TTTCCTCCTAAAAAGAATGATTTTCCCAGGGCTGGAGAGATGGCTCAGAAGTTAAGAGCACTGGCTGCTCTTCCAGAGGTCCTGAGTTCAATTCCCAGCAACCACACAATGGCTCACAACCATCTGTAATGAGATCTGATGTCCTCTTCTGGCCTATGGGGATACATGCAGACAGACCACTGTATGTATAATAAATAAATAAATCTTTAAAAAAAAAGAATGATTTTTCCCTTCCCCAGCAGTTATCAACTGCTAGCAAGAGGTGGGGTACAGAGAATACCCTTTTGGCCGGTTTGATCTTGTGCAGTTAACTCTAGCTGCAGTGAGTTCGTGAGTGTGAAGCCATTACGACAGCACATTACAGCAACCCTCTGTATCCTTCAGCGCTTACGATGCCTCCTTTTTAGTGATGTTCCCTGACATGTGGTAGTGACATGGTCGGGAGAGTGGTGGTGTGGATAAAGACTGAGCACTCAGGTTTTGCAATCAAGGATTTCTTGGCTCTGTGAGAGGCTGTTTTCATTTTGTCTTTATTTTCAAAAAGTCAAGTAAGCTTAAAATGTCAAGGAAACACTGAAAAAAATATTTTGATCATAGCTTTACTTTTAATTTTTCTAGTCATAATGAGCATCTTTAAGCATTCAGAGTATGTAGTGGTTATAGACTTCAGGTCTTGAAGCTACATAAAGGAGTATGAGGGTGCACAGAACACCTAGACTTTTGTGGTCAGCAATTGTATCAAGTGGCTTGTCCTTCAAGTCATCAAGCTTGAACAGCATGACTTAGCTGAACTGGGTCATTGTCACCAAAGTTTATAAGACAGACAGCATGAATTCTTTCAATTAACTAAAAAAATATTTAGGACATATAGATACAATCAAAATTGTTCTCTCCAGAGATTAAGTAGCAAATACTGTTGTGGAAATTACTTTATGTAAAGGTGTGCTACAATTGTTTATGCTGCATTTGCTTAACAGGTAAGGGTGTGTGTTTAATCATGTAAAGAAGTGTTGCATTTGTTTCACCTTGCCCGCCCAAGGCATCTGGTTGGTGTAATAAAAAACTGAACAGCCAATAGCTAGACAGGAGAGAGATAGGCTGAGTTGGCAAGCAGAGAGAATGAATAGGAGAAGAGAAGAGAGTGACAGGGAAGAGAAGGAGGAGAACGAGGGAGGCATAGAGGGACGTGCCGAGGACCAGAAGCCAGGCAGCTGCCAACCAGATAAAGAGAAACAGATTAAAATCAGAGCTAAGATAAGGTCAAGCATTTAAAACTAACAATAAATCTCTGAATCATGATTTGGGAACGGTTGGTGGCCCAGGAGAAAACCTGCCACAACATACTTATTGAGTACATATTCTATATGGGAATATCCATATGTAGATGGCTGTGCAAATTTGCATCTCCACCTTCACCCCTCCCATAGATCTCCATTTCTATGTCTACAGAGCTTGAATGTTTAATGAACTTGTCAAAAACTGAGCTCCAGACTTCCCACCTTAGCACCTCCCATGGCCATCCCATTTCACGTCACCTTTGTCCGTCACGCGCACAGTGGAAATCTGTAAATCATCCCACCAACTGTCTTTCCTTTGACCCTGTGTCTAATCCATCACAAATCCTGTTGACTCCAGACAAAATGTGGAAGCATGCATGGGATTCTAGAACCAAAAAAAAAGTTTTAGGGGAAAAATGAAGAAATTTAACTATTGGAGTTTGTTCATAGAAGTGTATCTGCTGGCCCTGGCTCTTGAATGCTTGGGACTTGGAGCCAAAGTGGTGGGAATCACGACTTCATTTTTATGGCGTGACTGGAGGATGTGGCTGCATGCATCTTCCTCATTCTGAGAAGGATTTGCCTCGCCAGCATTTGTCTACAGTTTAATCACACCTACAAACGGTAATCTGAAGTCAGTGTAGCCTTCTGAGGATACTTTATTGAATAATGTATCTTCTTCCTGAAGAACTACACTTTGGAATCCTAGAAAAATAGCAACAGTTCTGCTTTTCAAATAAGATTCTTCTGGGATCCTTCAAATGCCACTTAAAATGGAAAACACCATTTTTGTCTTGACTGGAAAACATTTATCTAAATTTAAAGAAAGGGAGGGAGGAAGAAGGGAGGGAGGGAGGGAGGGAGCGAGAGAGAGAGAGAGAGAGAGAGAGAGAGAGAGAGAGAGAGATCAAGCAAGGGTTCCAGAGGCTGTGGTGACAATGGATCACAGAGGGAGTAGTAAAGACTGAACAAAGGGTTTCAATTGTCTGTGTCATGAAGAATTAGAAAGCTGTCTATAATTCAATTTGTCAACAATGTAAGTTTTACATCAAGTAAATAAATCTAGGAACAGTAGACCTGGGAATGTGTTTTCTTCATCATGAATCAGGAAGAGTCATGGTGTCACCCATAAGGACAATTTCTGAGAAATCCACCTCTATTCTTTGTACCTACCTGGATAGGTACGCCTTTGACCTTTTTCCTAAACTAGAGAGAGTGGGAGACCTTTTAAATACAATAAGGATTGAGCAAATTAAACAATGCTTGCTAAATGCATTCAGAAGACACCACGCTACACTTGGATCTCTTCATAATCATCAAAACAAATGTTCATGTAACTGGGCTCCCATACCTTGCATCCTGGTAACTGCAATCAGGCCTGAGAGGGGTATGTGATCACCAAACACAAATCCAGCCCTGTAATTACAAGGGTACTGAGAGGGAAAGGTAAAGGTGATATTTCATCCAGCATTCTCAGTTCATCCTCTCCCTACCTGACCTTTGAAATGGAGCCATCAGCTTTGAAAGGCCTGGCATCTAAAATTAATATACTTCCCCATCTGACTAAGGAAGCAACAGCTGAGCAACATGAGATCAAGGAGCATATTAGTTTGAACAGGGGCTCAAAGTGGCATTTGGAGCAGCCACTTCCTCTGGTGGTAGACACTTGTCTTCCCAGATGACTTCTGCCCACTGAGAGTGAAGACTTACCAGAGAGTTCTGCAGTCTATTTGAATTTTGCAGATTCCTGTTATCTGCTGGAAAGAATCCTCTACTTGTGGAGTGGTTCAAACTCCAGGATGTCCTCCTACAGATGGTAATCACTTTAGTTTATTGTTAGAAGCTCTTTGCCAGTCTCTCTTCTCTCTCTATGTTGCTTTAAATAACAAGTCGCTCCAAACTTCAGGCAGAGTCAATGCTTAATATTTCTTTATGGAATGGTAATGTGTTAACCCCCCACACTGTTTTAATATGTTAATTTTCATGGCTTCCTGATCTAGTTTCAGTATTGCCTGTAATTCAACATTATATCTTAGTGACAGTTCATCATTAAATAGACATGTATCTGTCTTCTTATTTTAATAATTTTTTTCAGAGAAGTTTACAAAGTACTAATAATGATATGCAATGCATCTGTAGAGTTCTGGTTGATGTTATTTGCATTTTTTGAACCTAAGTTCTTTAGGCAATATATAGGATCTTGTAGAGCATTGACTTTACAATACTATATAAGTTTCGTACATTATTTTACTCTATGAATTGTAAAAATGAAAGGTGAAGTTTCATTGGCAGGATTAGAAATGATTGTGAAATCAAGCAAATTTCAGAGAATTTCCAGCAGGGGGCCCCGGGGACTAGCCACAGGAAAGCACAAATTCAAATCTTAATCTTTCTCTCTCTGTATAGCCAAGTAATGTGTAAATACACAGGTGCATGTATGTGTCTAGAATTGTTATTTGGTAGTGTGTGCATTACCTAATTTGTATGGAGAATATTTCAGAGAGAGCATGCAAAGCTGAGCTCAGTGCAATAAAAGGTGCTGGGTGCATTCTTCATATGAAATGGATTTCTTTTGAAAAATCAATACCAAATGTCTTAAGATGTAGGCAGGAGGACTTGGGGTGTGGCTCAGAGGTAGAAGTGCTTGCCTAACCTGTGTAGGTTATTGAGTTTAATCCCCAGCACTGAATAATTTAAAGATGGGGAAAAGGGGTTGCTGGTAGATAATTGTTGTGGTGGAGACACCACCCCCAAAGGTGGCACAATTTGCGAAGGAAGCCCCTCTTCCTGGACAAGCCTTTTTGCAGGACTGTGAGAAGCAAGCCTTGCAACCCCAGTCAAAAGCCCAGTCCTCACACTGTGTTTTAATCCACCACTTGATATGGCAGGAGAGTTTTAAATTTGCCCCTCATCTCCCACAGCTTGGTTGATTTTAGTCTGTGAAGAAAAAGCCTGATAATGAATAGATATCTAGAAAAAAAAACAGATGCTCACTGCATGAGAGTATGAAGCTCAAATCGGGGCAGCAGAGCATCTTTTATTGAGAGCCTGAAGGGACAGGAGTTTGGACTTCTGGGGTGAAAGCAAGTGAGAAGCCTCTGGAAGGTCGAGGGAGGGGTGAGTAGACATCCAGGATGCAAATAAAATCTTTCAGGTGGCAGCCGCCTGTGGTCATCTCCGTGGGGCAGGGGCTGGTCCCCTGTCTGATCTTGCTGTAGGTGACTCAGTCTTTCCTGGGTCATTTATTGCTTTTTAATGTAGATGGATATAAACTTCCTTTTACAAAAGGATTTTCCCAGCCACTCCTGTGTGTACAAAGGTCTGTGTTTCCTTTGAATAACCAACTTGAAATAAGCCCAATAAATATAACTGGGGTCTGATGTCTTACTTTCCATGTTATCATGTTTGGTTCGGTGAAGGATGTACTAGTCACCTGGGAGGGTGCTTCTTACTATTTGATTTTGTGGGAAAATGTAAAAATAAAAATATTTTCCTTTGAAAGTTCCAGCAATGGAGAAAGTTTCAGTTAGAATAGCAGCATTGCTCCTGATTTTGGAAGTCGATGGTGAATGAGTAACCTGAACTTGTCTCTCTTGTTTCCTTTCTTCCAGTCAGGAGAAAAGAGTACTGAAAAGTCAGGACTGTGTCCTGATTTACAAACCTGAGACTGTGGGAGATGAGAGCCCCACTCCTGACAGCAGCCTGCTCAGACTCACAACCAGCATGCTGAAGGTGAAAAGGCTGGAGGAGATCAGCTCCTGCCACAGCAGCAACCCCCTGGAGAAAGTGGCCTTTTTCCAGTGCATGGAGGAGGTGGAGAAGGTGAAATGTTTTCTGGAAGAGAATTCTAATGAGCTGGATCTACAAGCTGGAGACCATGAGGTAACCCTGTTGTCCCTTGTCTCGTGGGTGGTGCTCTTTTGACCCCTTTCAAGTTCCACGTTGTCACTTGTGTGTAGAACTGAAGAAACTGGAGAACGGATAGGTTTTATCCACTTCCCTGAGGCCTGTGTGTTGGGTTGGTTTTCAGAAGCCTTTGAATGTGCATTTTACCTGCAGTGGTGGAGGAATTTTGAAGTGAGTTTCTAGGCACTGGGAGTGTAGCTCAGTGGTAGAGGGTGTGCATAGCAAACCAGAGACCCAGGGTTCTGGATCATCACCCCCTCAATCAAAGACACATGCACACATACTCAGATACACATGTATATATACATGCATATTTATGGAATATGCTGTGGGCACACACTTTACAGAAGGCTCATGTTTGGGCTGAAAACAGAGAAGCACCATGGGGGACCTCTGTGCGGCTTCCAATTTCCCAAAGATCCTGAGCTCTGTAAGAAATGGAGCTATTGACAGCAAAGTCCAGAGAAGGGACATCATTCCTTGCTGCTAGCATGATGGTGGAACCCAGTGCCCACTGTGCAGAAGAAATGCTCTGAGCAGCACCAAATTCAAATTTGGAGTTGCCTAATCTGACCTGCGAGATGATAGGTGCTGTGAAAGTCAGCTGGTCAATACATCCAAAGCATGGTAAGCATTTATGGTGTGTGCACGGGGGGAAGAGTTGGTGTCAGCGTGAAAGGGAGAGTGGTCTAGTACTACCACCACAATATTGAAGAGACACCCCCACCCCCAACCACACCCTGCCAGGGGCCTCCACTCAAGCAAAGGCATATCCTTGACTACACGGTAGAAAAGAATTTCAAGATGATTAGGGAGAAACAAAGTTGGTAGGTTTATTAAATAGAGAAAAGAGCTAGTTTGTGCACAGACATTGGTGTGTGTGTGTGTGTGTGTGTGTGTGTGTGTGTGTGTGCCTGTGTGTTGTGAGAGAGGGGTGAAGGAGGGAGAGGGAAAACAATACATATACAAGACATGGGTATCTAAGTGTCTGCACAAAGGCCTCATATATGATTAAGGAGGTTTCTAAGTTACATTGTTTAAATGATGTGGGCTAGAGAGATGGCTGAGTGGGGAAAGGTGCTGACCATGCAAGCCTGGTGGCCTGAGTTAGAATCCAGGGACCCACATGAAGGTGGGCAGAAGAACTGATTCCACAGTACTGTCTTCTAACCCCCACACACGTGTGGTGACCCATGTGCTGTACCCTGTTTCTCTCACACATGTATAATACATAGGAAAAACTTAAACATATTGATTTACAACAGGTTTAAAGATTAAGGAAAACTTAAAAGTTAAGTAAAAATTATAGGGGCTAGAGAAATGGCTCCATGGCTAAGAGCACATACTGACTTTGAAAAGAATATGTGTTTGGTTCTCAGCTCACAACAGTCTGACTCCAATTCCAGGAGACCAAACGACTCTGGCCTCCTTGGCACAGCACTCCAGTGGATATACCCTGTACCTCAGACACATGATAAAAATTAACTTCTTTACTTATTTTTTCTTATCTTAAGGAATTTCCTTTTGCAACTGAAAGTGTAAGGTTATTTTACAATGTATATGGAATAGATTTGGGGCGACAGGAACACTAATATGATAAACCTCACAGTTCTAAACTCCTGGGCTCAAGCCATCCTCCAGCCACAGCCTCCCAGAGAGCTGGAACCATCTAGGTGCATGAAACCCTTCAGCTACTTAGATACAGAAGACGTAATTGTCATAGGCAAACTATGAGACACGAAAGACACTCTCGTAAGGACCATTAATAGCACAAACAAACAGAATTTATTTTCTCCTCATGAATTTCTGAAAGAAACAGAAAGACATGCATATTTCATCACTTTGCACAACAGAAATCAACTGACAGTTTATATGGATTTGATTATTTGTCAAGTACACTTGTTTTCATAATTCTGTGATATAATTTTGTTGCTGTTGTTGTTTGGATATTTTGAGAGAAAGAGAGGGGGAGAGAGAGAGGAGAGAGAGTGGAAAGAGAAGAGAGAGAGAAGAGAGGAGAGAGAGGAGAGAGAGGAGAGAGAGGAGAGACAGAGAGAGAGAGAGAGAGAGAGAGAGAGAGAGAGAGAGAGAGAGAGAGAGGACCTTGTGTTGCTCAGGAAGTCCTTGAACTCCACATGTAGCTTAGGATGTCCTTGAGTTTCTGATCCTCTTGCCTCTGCCTTCTAAGTCCTAAGATGACAGTTATGTGCCACTGTGCCAAGGTTACGTGCTAGAACAGTTTAATTAACTGTCTTTCAAGTGTGAGGTAATGGTGAACTGGACTGTAAGCTTTCTTAGGAAAAATTACTTTTATAATTACCAACTGTTCTGAAAAGTTAGAAACCTAATTTGGAAGTTATATATTTTGGGGTTTGGGGGAAACATCGAGTCTGCAGAGACCCTAGAAGAAGTAAACAAACATTTTGTAGCAGGGTCTTTCTGGCTTCCATGCTACAGTTGACACCATTGAAGGTAGAAACCAGTGACAAGGAGTGCCATATGTCCTGTTCAGTTTTTTATTTATAAATGGAGAAGGCCCAGGGATGTCAGCAGTCAGCACCCTGTCTTCCTCTGGCCCTGTGTAGAATGGACAGGTACAGGGATCAGAGGCTCAGAGCTCTTTCTATGGTGGTCAAAGCCCTTCTATGGGTGCAGCACAGCCAGCAGGGCTGGCAGCTTGCAGGTAGAGAGGCTGCCTCAGCAACTCAGGTGTGTGGACACAGCTGGGCTACCATGGCTGTCTCCATCTTCTGCAGGACTGCAGGAGATCTTGACTGCACCACTCTTTTTTCTCCCGGGACTATTAAAAAGACCTGTCAACTTTCTCACTTCGCTCTCTTTTCTCCCCCTTCCCATTCTCTTTCTGAGAAGATTAGGGCTGCTAATGGCAGAAACATTTGCTAGCCGCACTGAAAGGCAATTTTCACTGGATTTCAGACACTCTGGGGACACAGCTTTGTTCTGGAAGCTTGAAATACAGTTTCCAAAAGCAACTTTATCTGCTCACAGTCCCAAGAGCAGGAAAACTGTATATAAATTTAACAACCTGTATTTGTTAAAATAGTTCAGTGAAACTCTTTTTTCTTTTCCGGCTCTTAACCAGGATTTTCTATTTCATTTATTTTCCCTTCACGGAGTTTATTTTAAACTACCTTTCTCTTCCTCTAGTTTTTTTTTTTTGGATGAATTATTAAATACTTCATATTCCACTTCTCTGTACTTGAAACATTTAATTTGTTTTATAATCTTAACTTTGTTTCTTTAATTTTGCTTCATTTTCCATTTGGTTCTGTTTTCTAATATCTTTTTCCTTTTTGTTACAATACTGTGAATTTAAAAAGGTTTATGACTTAAAGGGGCAAGTCATAGGCTTGCTTCCATTTTCTCATTTTCCATTCCATGGCTCAAAATTAAAGACTTTGAAGGGTGGCACAGGCCTCTCCCCAAGCAAGGAGCTGGAAATAGACAGAAAGTGACAGTTATCATCCCTAAGAAGAAGGGCACAGCTCACCTTCCCATCCCTGAGTCATTTCTCTTCTTCTCCCTTTATACCACACCTAGGAGCACTCTGATTCTTCAGCTCAGCCTCAGCCTCCACTGAGCATTAAATCTGTGCCATCACCAACACCCTGTATTCATCACTTCTGGGTCATCTCCAACCTGATTCCCCAGCAGCATCATTGTCTTACCTGCAAGATTTTGCACAGGTCAGGGATGTTCCCATCCTCTCTGAAATGCTCAATATGAAGCCTAGATTTTATATTTGCTCCTAGGCCATGCCCATGAGGACATCCACAATACTCCCTCAAAAGATCATCCACAAATGGAAACGGAACAAATAGATGAATAAAATATGCTTCCAGTAGATAGCCACATACCACTACACGCTAGATCTAAACTTGTTCAACATATGCATTGAAGTCAAGTAGCACTTAGCCAACAGCTGATCTGAGTGATGCGCTTAATAGCCACCAGGAAGTTATAAATACTAAATAGTTCTCACAACTATAATTACAATTACTTTGATATAATCAAATGCAGAGTTTTAATTAAATGATTATATTCATACTTTTGGTGCCAGGGACCCAACCCAAGGTCTCGAGAATATGCTACACCCTCAAGCCATACAAGAATATGCTATATCCCCCAAATAATATTTCTACATTTATACCTAAGATGATCTATGCCCACCTCCCTTGGTTTTCCCTACCTTCCTGTGTGATCCTATTTCCTGTTATTTCCCCTGAAGGCTTGGTCCCAAGTATAAAAATTAAGGGGCATTAGAGTATGTATGGATGGTCCTTTTACAAAACAAAGTCTTTGTGGGCCACTCCTCCAGAATTGTGCTTATAGGGCTTATTCAAGGGGGGTTACTTCTGAATCCACACTAATCATGATTTGAATGGAAAAGTCTCCTTTAGTAAGATCCAGGTTTCAGGGGTGGGAATGCGCTACAGTCGGTGGATGCTTCCATAGCATGCACGAAGCCTGAGTTTGAGCAGTAGCACCACATAAACTGGGCATCCCACTCTGTACCTGTAATCCTAGCATTTAGGAGGTAGAGGAGGGAGGATCAGAAGCTGAAGAGCATTCCGAGCTACACAGAATGTTTGAAGCCAGCCTGGGATGCATGAGACCATGTCTCAAACACAAAAGACACAAAATTCAAAATACAATACTACCAGCAACAAAAACAGGTTCAATTCTTCCATAGTCCCATCTAGAGGAGAGATTAGGATGGCCCAAATAAACACAGGCTCTCACAGTCCCTGGGATGTTTAAATGCTTCTCACAGATATTCAAAGACAGAACCAAACAAAAGTATTTCCTAGCCGGATGGGCAAAAGATGAGAGAGGGTTGGGTGAAGCATGGGTGTCTCTATTTTGATTGAGTTGGTTGTTTTAATAGCAGTTGACATTTCCTGACAGCTGGTGTGAAATTTTACCACCAGCCATATTCATAATTACTATTCTTA